TGCAGTTATTGCATATTTTGAAAAAGAAAATCCCTTCCCCAATTTGTTAGATACTTAAAAATATTTTTTAAACAAAGACGAGAAATTGTCACAACGTTTTTGGAACAATTGCCTTCATTCGAGGTCATCATGGAATGTTATATAAGCACAGAAATAGGCGTCAGTGCCTCAGTGGAGTCGACCATGGTTAGGAACTTTGTGTTGCAAGGAAAAATATTATTCCCCTGGTAACTTAGAGGAATGATGTTACATTTCATAATCAGAAAAATAATTGTGCAATGGAAAGGAGCAGAATAGGCTAACTCTTCTGGCTACATCATTTCCTTGACTGAAATATGAAAGTCAGGTAATATTACTATAAATAAAACACTGAAACTATTTCAAATAAGAGAAATATTTGGAGATAAGTATAAATTGTTCTCTTTTAAAGACAATTACTGATGCTTTCTGAAAAAAAATTTGAAATAAATCAGCACGGAAGTACCCAAAAAGTAAAGAAAAACAAGGGGAAAAGAAACTAGGAAAGAAGCATAAAGCTTTATTCAATGTATTGCTAATCAGTAAGTATTCAAAATTACTGTACCCTGAGATCATTTACCAAGTCTCTGTATAGTCATCTTTCTGTTACTAGTGCGGATTTGAAGATTGGGGAACAATTATGTCAACGTATAGAGTTTATGTATTAAATCTATGTGATTTCCATAAAACCTGGAAAGTTGGGATAATGACGTTTCTACTGGTGCAAATTAAACATTATTAAATACATAGACTAAAAGTTGTTTGGTCAGGCAAGAGACTATAATTATTGTAGCTGGTTAGGCTGAAGCAGCAGAGGCTGCAGTTTCCTAGTGCGGTCTCTGGGCGCCGCTGTTGGCCAGAGTGATAAACTCGGCACCGGCGATCGCCTCGCGCAACCGCAGAGCTCTTTACCCAACTCAGACCCGCTAAAGCAAGCCTTTACACCGCTTCCTCCTCTGGAAAAGAAGAAAGCCTGACCCCGTGCAAAAACTAAAGCCTGTTCGGAGCTCCCGACATCTGCAACGCAGGGATTATTTGTCATCCACGCCTCCAGGCCGGTGAGCAAGCTGAGGGGAGCAAGAGGGATGGGGAGCGGCGCTGGGGACAGGGGCTGGGCTGAGAGACGGCCAGTGCTCTTTCTCTTCCTGCTGTCTTTGTTCTGCCCGGCGGCGCTCTCTGAGCAGATCCGCTACAAGATCCCCGAGGAACTGCCCGAGGGCTCCGTGGTGGGGAACCTCGCCAAGGACCTGGGACTCAGTGTCGGCGAGTTACCGACTCGAAAACTGCGCATCAGTTCGGAGAAGCCTTATTTCAGTGTGAGCTCAGAGCGCGGGGAGTTACTTGTGAGCAGTAGAGTGGACCGGGAGCAGATATGCGGGAAGAAGCCGGCTTGTGCTCTGGAATTTGAGGCTGTTGCTGAAAATCCATTGAACTTTTATCACGTGAATGTGGAGATCGAGGATATTAATGACCACACGCCAAAATTCATGCAAAATTCCTTTGAGCTGCAAATAAGTGAGTCCACAAAGCCTGAGGCACGATTTATCTTAGGATCTGCCTATGATGCAGATATTGGCACCAACTCACTACAGAATTACCAACTCAGTCCCAATGATCATTTCATACTCGTGAATAAAGAGAAATCAGATGGTAGTAAATACCCTGAACTAGTACTGAAGAAGCCTTTAGACAGAGAAGAGCAGAAGTCCTACCACTTGACCTTGACTGCTTCGGACTGCGGGGATCCATCCCTAAGCAGCACCGCACAGATACAGATCCTAGTGTCTGATGCCAATGATAATCCCCCAGTATTCAGCCAAGAGCGATACAGGGTGGGCCTTTTGGAAAACGTGTTCCCAGGCACCACTGTGCTTCAAGTGATGGCCACCGACCAGGATGAGGGTGTCAATGCCGAGATCACCTTCTCTTTCACTGAAGCAGGCCAGATCACCCAGTTTGACCTGAATTCTAATACCGGAGAAATTACCATTCGAAATACATTAGATTTTGAGGAAGTCAAGGAATATTCTATTGTGGTGGAAGCAAGGGATGGTGGAGGACTGGTTGCACAATGTACTGTAGAGATAGAAGTCCTAGATGTAAATGACAATGTCCCAGAAGTGATATTCCAATCTCTACCAGACCTTATTATGGAAGACACCAGGTTAGGAACATACATTGCTTTACTCAAAATCCGTGACGAGGATTCCGGACACAACGGAGAAGTTATTTGTAAATTAGAAGGGGGTGTTCCATTTAAATTACTCACTTCTTCAAGAAACACGTATAAATTAGTGACAGCTGGAGTTCTAGACCGCGAGCAAACTCCTGAGTACAATGTCACCATCACAGCCACCGACAAAGGCAAGCCGCCCCTCTCTTCCAGCTCAAGCATCACCCTGCACATCGGCGATGTAAACGACAATGCGCCGGGTTTTGAAGAGGCCTCCTACGTGGTCCACGTGGCCGAGAACAACCCACCCGGGGCATCTATCGCCCAAGTCAGCGCTTCCGACCCGGACCTGGGACCCAACGGCCACGTCTCCTACTCCATCGTGGCCAGCGACCTGGAGCCGCAGGCGCTGTCGTCCTACGTGTCCGTGAGCGCGCAGAGCGGCGTGGTGTTCGCGCAGCGCGCCTTCGACCACGAGCAGCTGCGCGCCTTCGAGCTGACGCTGCAGGCCCGCGACCAGGGCTCGCCCGCGCTCAGCGCCAACGTGAGCCTGCGCGTGTTGGTGGGCGACCGCAACGACAACGCGCCTAGGGTGCTGTACCCGACGCTGGGGCCCGACGGCTCGGCGCTCTTCGACACGGTGCCGCGCGCCGCGCAGCCCGGCTACCTGGTCACCAAGGTGGTGGCGGTGGACGCGGACTCGGGACACAACGCCTGGCTGTCCTACCACGTGCTGCAGGCCAGCGAGCCCGGACTGTTCAGCTTGGGGCTGCGCACGGGCGAGGTGCGCACGGCGCGCGCTTTGGGCGACAGGGACGCTGCCCGCCAGCGCCTGCTTCGCTGTGCGCCCTCTCGGCCACCGCCACGCTGCACCTGATTTTCGCAGACAGCCTACAAGAGGCTCTGCCAGACTTCAGTGACCGCGCCGAGCCCTCTGACCCCCAGGCTGAGCTACAGTTTTACCTAGTGGTGGCCTTAGCCTTGATTTCAGTGCTCTTCCTCCTCGCGGTGATTCTGGCGGTTGCCCTGCGCCTCAGACGCTCCTCCAGCCCCACCACCTGGGGCTGCTTTCAGCCTGGTCTTTGTGTCAAGTCTGGACCCGTGGTTCTCCCCAGCTATAACGAAGGGACTTTACCTTATTCCTACAATCTGCGCGTTGCCCATGCTGGAAAGACAGAGTTTAATTTTCTAAAATGTAACGAACAATTGAGTTCAGGACAAGATAAACTTTGCGCTGAATCGTCTGGGGCCTTATTTCCATTTTGTAATTCCAGTGAGTCGACTTCCCATCAGGTGAGTTTTCTTTAAGCATAACCTGCTTCTTGTGGTTTATCCAGTTCTCCATATTTACAGGGAAACATACAATGTTCAGATTTAAAAGTTGTCTTAAGAAAGTTGTAGCCAGTCAAAAAGCTGTCATACCATCCTTCAAGGGAGGTTGAAGTAGGAGCAATTATTTGTGTTTTAGGGATGTCTTACCAGGCTCAGATTTACAAAGCAGTGAGGGTGAAGTTTTATCTACAAAGGGAAATGTTTAACAATGCTATAAGCTCTGTCACAAAAGCTAACGAGATTTTTCTCTTAATTTTTGTCATTTAATAGATGATTTTTTTATTCAACTGGGACATGCTATAAATGTAAAAGTAGGCAAACATTTAAGTAAACATTTAAAGGAAAAAATTTAAGCTAAGATTATTTTTCTTAACCTATTTTTACTGTTTTGGTTTCCATACTAATCTGATGTTTTCTCTTTTATATTTACTTTCTTTTGCTTCAAAATCACCTAGAATAATATATCTTAACCTGCATTTTATGTAGATGGACCCGTTGTAATTGTATACAATGTACTGTGTGAGTGTTGTGTGTAAAATGGTTTGACTTAGCAGTAGGTCCATTTTGCTCACCATAAGATTAAAACATGTTCTCCCTACTTACACCATAGGTTTTTCAGGATTAACCTGCATTGAAGCTTTTTCTGTCAGCTCTTCCATCAAAAAAAAGACAATATTTGAAATTTTGCCTGTTTTTTTTTTTTTTTTTTTTTTTTTGCAGCCTTAAACTGACATAGCTAGATGTCTTCTAGTCATTCTGCTATCTTTAGGATAAAAGATAGTTGAATTCTTCAAATTTTAGACAAAATTGCTAATCTGATGTGCATACAAGTATATACAAAAGATGATAATACATTGTTTCAGCCTTTTGCTAGATTTTCCTTACTAACTGCTTTAGTTCATGGCCACTTTACAAACTGCTGGAAAATAAAAAGAAATATCTTTTTATACTGGCATTTTTAACTCCTTAGTGATAATCATGTGTTCCTTACTTTTTTGTGGTTCTTTTGCTTTAAGGTACTAATAAAGGTGAGAATAACTTTAGAACACATGTCTACCTTAGGAAGATAATTAAGTCTGCTTTAAAGTGTAATCATCTCTTATTGGTAGAAAAATGGGAAATAGATTTACTTTTCATTGTAAATTTATTTGTACCTTTCAAGTGTTTTCGATTCGAATGGAAAAAAATTAAATAAAATAGTCAAATAGCGTAATCTCTAATAAAACTTGAAAGTAAAAGCACTTAAACTGTTAAAATTTTACAATATTAATTTGAAAATTTTATCTATGTACAATTTAAAAGACTTTCTAAAGAAAATTAAAAACAATAACTAAAGTAAGCTTATTATAATGATTAATTAGTTTAAACCAAGTAAAATAATTTCTTAGTCAATCATCTTTAATAGGTCTGTATTAGTCTATAAGTGAATTTCTAGTGACAAATGGAGTTCTTACTTATTTGACAATATATATTGAAGACATTTACAATAAATCTTAGAGCATAACAAGAAATAAAAGTTTAATAATTTTTAAAAGAGTAAATGTATTCCAGAAATATGAATAATTTAATATGAAGCTAACCCATAAATCTGATCATTTGTAATACTTTGTAAGACTTTAACCTTATTGCATCCCATGATTCTTGGCAATTTTTAAATATGAATTCAGGTACAAATTAAATAAATGCAAAACGAACTAAAAAGCAAATAGTATTTTTTTTCCCAATAATCTAGCATACAGTATTACAAATCTAAGTAGGTGCAGTAACTGTTCAGGACTCTAAGCGCCGCTGTTCACCTAATTTGGAGATAAATATAACCGAACGCCGTCCGGATACTCAGGGCTCCCACCTCACAAAGACCCGCAGATCCCACAAACGAACTGCAGGGCTGCAGCGAAACTCCGTCCCAAAATTTGGGACCCTCTAGCTTTCGACAGATTGATCTCCATAGCTGCAGCAGAAAGGTAAACAAGAAACATATGTCCAGTGAAGATTCTAAGTGGATTCCGTAACAAGAGAACAATGGCCGCTCCCAAGAATTACCGAGGACGCAGCGAACTGGTCCTGCTGTGCGTATTTCTGGGCACGCTCTGGGAGATCGGGAAGGGACAGATCCACTACTCAGTGCCAGAAGAGAGCGACAAAGGATCCTTCGTGGGTAACATCTCTAAAGACCTGGGGCTGGAGTCACAAGAGCTGGCGAAGCACGGAGTCCGCATCGTCTCCAGAGGTAGGACTCAGCTCTTTGCTCTGAACTGGAGGGGCGGCAGCTTAGTCACCGCAGGCAGGATAGACCGGGAGGAGCTCTGCGCTCAGAGCGCACCTTGCCTTGTAAATATAAACATCCTGGTTGAGGATAGAGGAAAACTTTTTGGGATAGAAATAGAAATCACTGATATCAATGATAATAACCCAAAATTCCAGGCGGAAAATCTGGAAGTAAAGATTAACGAAATCACTGCGCCTGGCACACGTTATCCACTCCCAGAGGCTGTTGACCCGGATGTGGGCTTGAATTCCCTGCAGAACTACCAGCTCAGCCCCAATCACCACTTCTCCCTGGACGTGCAAACTGGAGACGACGGGACTATCACCCCAGAGCTGGTGCTGGAGCGCGCCCTGGACCGCGAGGAAGAGGCTGCTCACCACCTGGTCCTCATCGCCTCCGACGGCGGCGAGCCGCGTCGCTCCAGCACAGTGCACATCCAAGTGACAGTATTGGACACGAACGACAATGCCCCGGTTTTTGCTCAGCCGATTTACCGAGTGACAGTCCCAGAGAATGTGCCCCTGGGCACCCGGCTGCTTACTGTAAGAGCTAGCGACCCGGATGAGGGAGCCTACGGAGAAGTGACATATAAATTCTGGAAAATTAGTGAGAAACAATCTCCGTTATTCCAGCTTGATGAAAATACTGGGGAAATATCAACAGCAAAGAGTCTAGATTATGAAGACTGTGCATTTTTTGAAATGGAAATACAAGCTGAAGATGTGGGGGCACTCATGGGGAGAACCAAAGTGCTCATTTCGGTAGAAGATGTAAATGACAATAGACCTGAAGTGACTGTCACATCTTTGTTTAGCCCAGTCTTGGAAAATACTCATCCAGGAACAGTAATTGCCTTCTTGAATGTACATGACCGAGACTCTGGAAAGAATGGTCAAGTTGTCTGTTACATACGTGATAATTTGCCTTTTCGATTAGAAAAATCAATAGATAATTATTATAGATTGGTAACATGGACATATTTGGACCGAGAAAAGACCTCAGTGTACAATATCACAGTGATGGCCTCAGATCTAGGAACTCCGCCTTTATCTACTGAAACTCATATCACCTTGCATGTGGCAGACACCAACGACAATCCACCCTCATTCCCTCATGCCTCCTACTCAGCCTATATCCCAGAGAACAACCCCAGAGGCGCCTCAATCTTCTCTGTGACTGCCTATGACCCGGACAGTAGCAAGAACGCCCAGGTCACTTACTCTGTGACCGAGGATATCATCATGGGGGCACCTATGTCCTCGTATGTCTCCATCAATTCTGACACTGGTGTGCTGTATGCACTGCGCTCCTTTGACTATGAGCAGATCCAAGACTTACAGCTACTGGTGACTGCCAGGGACAGTGGGGACCCTCCACTCAGCAGCAATGTGTCACTGAGTCTGTTTGTGCTGGACCAGAATGACAACGTCCCTGAAATCCTGTACCCCTCGCTCCCCAATGATGGTTCCACTGGTGTAGAGCTAGCACCCCGCTCTGCGGAACCTGGCTATCTGGTGACCAAGGTGGTGGCAGTGGACAAAGACTCAGGCCAGAATGCCTGGCTGTCCTACCGTCTGCTCAAGGCCAGCGAGCCAGGGCTCTTCACCGTGGGGCTGCACACGGGTGAGGTGCGCACGGCGCGGGCCCTGCTGGACAGAGACGCCCTCAAGCAGAGCCTGGTGGTGGCCATCCAGGACCATGGCCAGCCTCCTCTCTCCGCCACTGTTTCGCTCACTGTAGCATTGGCTCACAACATTCCAGATGTCCTGGCTGACCTGAGCAACATCAGAAACCCCACCAGCTCTAATGATTCGGACCTAACGTTGTACTTAGTGGTGGCTGTGGCTGTTGTCTCCTGCGTCTTCCTCGCCTTTGTTGTTGTGCTACTGGCTCTCAGACTATGGCGGTGGCACAAGTCAAATCTGCTTCAGGCTTCGGGCGGCGGGTTGGTGGGTCTGCCAGGCTCAAGCTTTGTAGGTGTGGAGGGAGTACAAGCCTTCCTGCAGACCTATTCCCATGAGGTTTCCCTCACTGCAGACTCAGGAAAGAGTCACCTGATCTTCCCACAGCCCAACTATGCGGACACACTCATCAGCCATGACAGCTGTGAGAAAAGTGATTCTTTGTTAACATCCATAGAATTTCATGAAGGTAAGGATGACACTACTTCTGTTCAGGTGAGTTCAGTTTTTTGTTTATATTTATTTCTAAGAGGAATTATTTTTAAATAAATTTATGTTTCGAAACATGTTTTGAAGAAAGTTTAAAATATTATTTAAGATATACCACAAAGTTTAAGGTTTACTTTAGTGGTGATACTGTAAAATTGAGTCCTAATCATCATGGTTTGTTTCATTTGCTTTCAAAGACTTGAACAAGGTTGTTTAAATGTGAACTCTCAACCCCTTAAAGCCTTCCATATTTTACTATAATTATCACTTATCACTAATTCACTTAAGAAATAGTTACTCAACCACATAAGGTAAGTTTGTTTATATATATGTATGTATGCATGTATGCATGTATATGTATACATATGTGTGTATATATATATATACACATATATATTTCTAAGTTAGAACTGAGGGAAAATTATCGAGACTTCTAACTCCTTAGATTAGCTTAGTAGAAGTAAAATTTTTAGAATTATATTTAGAGTTTGGACCTAAAACTGGGCTTTCTAAGATTCTTTCACTTTAAACCTCTTTTCTGAGCCTCATGTCTGCTTTAATACCCTTAAAAAGCTTTAATGATTCTTATATTTCAAAACATGAACTTATTTTAAAGGATAGATCTGATCCTGGTGGTAGGTGAGACTGGTCTCTAAATGTTGAGTTTGTGTGTCAGTGGTCACCCAGGGCTCATACCAAAGGAGTAGTAGTGGAATCTAAAGTCTAAAATAGCCATTGCCTTCCACCTCCCCCACCAAAAAAAAAAAAACAGATTTGTAGTAAAATGTCATTTTAAACTGTTGAAGGTGACTTTTGTAAAATACAGAAGAACATGTTTGGGTAAAGTTCCAAAGAGCTGCTTTGGTGATGCAGCCATGTGAAATGTGCTGTATTCTCATGGTAAGAGAGTCTGAGAATGTTAGTTTATGAACAGAAATTCCATGTTCATAAATTTTAAACAAGCTAATTAATTCAACTAAAAATTACTCCATCTGGACTGTGTGTGTGTTTTCCGTATTCCTTGTTATAGCTTTTTAATAAAGCTAACCTCTGTTTTATTATCAGGTGACACTTTGCAATTTTAAAATGTATGTGGAAAGTTGCCCTGACAGAAAAGAAAATCCTTACTCTTGCTCAAAATATTCACTTATTGTCAAAAATTTTTTAACAAATAAAGTAAAATAATTAGAATAAATATCACTATAATAAGTAAATTTATTTAAATAAAACCACCATGAGCTCAAATACTCTAATTCCAAAGTCATTCATTCAGTGTAAAATAGGTCCATAGATAAGGAAGTAATACAGCCTACTAGAATATCCCTTTGTGACTTTATATGGAAGAATAAATAAACATTCCCCTAATGACTTTTAAGAATGAGTTATGTACTATATTGAGTGTGACATAAGCCAAGTAATTTTGGGATATGAAGAAGAGGATAGAGTAAATCATGCCTTGGCTACATGATAGAGACAGTTTTATTTTGAACGATTGAATACTTCTTAAGGTAGTTGGAAGAGTAAAAAATTATTTTTATAAAGAAAGCGTTACAGGGGGAAGAAATGTTTGAGCATTACTACAAAATTGCACAATTTTACAAGACAGTTTTCAACAGTATGGATGTTCTCTAATATGTTATATGAAACAGCATTAATTATGTAGAAATGTTGAGGAAAATAAGAATCAAAAGAAGTTTAGAAATTATTTCACGTCATAGCTAATGAAGAGGATGAATTTTTGAAATCGGTAGATGATAAACTCTCTGAAGGCAATACCTGTGTCTTATTCATTATTGTATCACCAATGACAAGGGCAGTACATAGCACAAGGCAAGAGTTCAATGTATGTTTGTTGAATGGTGAAATGAATGTACCAATATATGTAGGTGTGTATAAAAATCCAACATGATATGTCTAATAATTTGGAAACAAGAAAAAGATACCTTAAAGGAAGACTTATAATTTAAGATATTAAATATATTAACATAAAAACATAGCTTGTTCAGTTAGGCACACGATTATTACTGTAGCTGGTTGGACTGAAGCAGCAGAGGCTGCAGTTTCCTAGTGCGGTCTCTGGGCGCCGCTGTTGGCCAGAGTGATAAACTCGGCACCGGCGATCGCCTCGCGCAACCGCAGAGCTCTTTACCCAACTCAGACGCGCTAAAGCAAGCCTTTACACCGCTTCCTCCTCTGGAAAAGAAGAAAGCCTGACCCCGTGCAAAAACTAAAGCCTGTTCGGAGCTCCCGACATCTGCAACGCAGGGATTATTTGTCATCCACGCCTCCAGGCCGGTGAGCAAGCTGAGGGGAGCAAGAGGGATGGGGAGCGGCGCTGGGGACAGGGGCTGGGCTGAGAGACGGCCAGTGCTCTTTCTCTTCCTGCTGTCTTTGTTCTGCCCGGCGGCGCTCTCTGAGCAGATCCGCTACAAGATCCCCGAGGAACTGCCCGAGGGCTCCGTGGTGGGGAACCTCGCCAAGGACCTGGGACTCAGTGTCGGCGAGTTACCGACTCGAAAACTGCGCATCAGTTCGGAGAAGCCTTATTTCAGTGTGAGCTCAGAGCGCGGGGAGTTACTTGTGAGCAGTAGAGTGGACCGGGAGCAGATATGCGGGAAGAAGCCGGCTTGTGCTCTGGAATTTGAGGCTGTTGCTGAAAATCCATTGAACTTTTATCACGTGAATGTGGAGATCGAGGATATTAATGACCACACGCCAAAATTCATGCAAAATTCCTTTGAGCTGCAAATAAGTGAGTCCACACTGCCTGGCATGCGATTTATATTAGAAGTAGCGGAAGATGCAGATATTGGCTTAAACTCTCTCCAGAATTATAAACTCTCTCTTAGCTCTAGTTTCTCATTGATAAATAAGGAGAAACAAGATGGTAGTAAATACCCGGAGCTGATATTGGAGAAACCTTTAGACCGGGAACAACTAAGTTATCATAATTTGATCCTCACTGCCTTGGACGGCGGAGATCCACCGCTAAGCGGCACCACTGAGCTCCGGGTCCAGGTCACTGATGCCAATGATAATCGTCCTATCTTCAACCAGGACATATACAGAGTCAGCCTTCGAGAAAACGTGCCCCTAGGCACCACTGTGCTGCAGGTGTCAGCCACCGACCTGGACGAGGGCGTCAACTCAGAAATCACTTATTCATTCTACAGGACCGGGCAAATCTTCCGTCTGAATTCAAAGAGCGGAGAAATTACCACTTTAAGGACACTGGATTTCGAAGAAATCAAGGAATATTCTATTGTGGTGGAAGCAAGGGATGGTGGAGGACTGGTTGCACAATGTACAGTTGAAATTAACATTCAAGATGAAAATGACAACAGCCCGGAAATTGCTATCCATTCTCTACCAGAAATGATTCTGGAAAACGCAGTGCCGAGAACACTAATTGCTTTGATCAGAATAAATGACCGAGATTCCGGGGAGAATGGGGAGGTATATTGTCGATTAGACGGTGATGTACCTTTTCAGATAATTTCTTCGTCTAAAAATTCATATAAGTTGGTAACAGACGGGCCCCTGGACCGGGAACAGACCCCAGAGTACAACGTCACCATCACAGCCACCGACAAAGGCAAGCCGCCCCTCTCCTCCAGCATTACCATTACCCTGCACATCACCGACGTCAACGACAACGCTCCGGTTTTCCAGCAGTCAGCCTACCTGGTCCACGTGCCAGAAAACAATCCGCCTGGTGCTTCCATAGCGCAGGTCAGCGCCTCTGACTCCGACCTGGGACCCAACGGCCACGTCTCCTACTCCATCGTGGCCAGCGACCTGGAGCCGCGGGCGCTGTCGTCCTACGTGTCCGTGAGCGCGCAGAGCGGCGTGGTGTTCGCGCAGCGCGCCTTCGACCACGAGCAGCTGCGCGCCTTCGAGCTGACGCTGCAGGCCCGCGACCAGGGCTCGCCCGCGCTCAGCGCCAACGTGAGCCTGCGCGTGTTGGTGGGCGACCGCAACGACAACGCGCCTAGGGTGCTGTACCCGACGCTGGGGCCCGACGGCTCGGCGCTCTTCGACACGGTGCCGCGCGCCGCGCAGCCCGGCTACCTGGTCACCAAGGTGGTGGCGGTGGACGCGGACTCGGGACACAACGCCTGGCTGTCCTACCACGTGCTGCAGGCCAGCGAGCCCGGACTGTTCAGCTTGGGGCTGCGCACGGGCGAGGTGCGCACGGCGGGGGGACAGGGACGCTGCCCGCCAGCGCCTGCTGGTCGCTGTGCGCGATGGGGGACAGCCACCCCTCTCGGCCACCGCCACGCTGCACCTGATTTTCGCAGACAGCCTACAGGAGGCTCTGCCAGACTTCAGTGACCGCACCGAGCCCTCTGACCCCCAGGCTGAGCTACAGTTTTACCTAGTGGTGGCCTTGGCCTTGATTTCAGTGCTCTTCCTCCTCGCGGTGATTCTGGCGGTTGCCCTGCGCCTCAGACGCTCCTCCAGCCCCACCACCTGGGGCTGCTTTCAGCCTGGTCTTTGTGTCAAGTCTGGACCCGTGGTTCTCCCCAGCTATAACGAAGGGACTTTACCTTATTCCTACAATCTGCGCGTTGCCCATGCTGGAAAGACAGAGTTTAATTTTCTAAAATGTAACGAACAATTGAGTTCAGGACAAGATAAACTTTGCGCTGAATCGTCTGGGGCCTTATTTCCATTTTGTAATTCCAGTGAGTCAACTTCCCATCCTGAAACACTAACAGCGGTGAGTTGCATTTAAGTGCCTCGTCCTTTTCATTATCTACCCAACTTTCCATATTTATATGAAAATATATTACATTTCTAAGTATAATGAGTTGTCTTAGGGATATTTAGCCTGTCAGAAAGCTATACTTCCGTTCTTCAACGGGATGGTGAATTGGGGGTGTCATACATATTTATGTGCCATAACATACAGTTATCTTACCAAGTTTGGATTTACAAAGTAGTGAGAGTGTGCTCTTTGCTTCACAGCAAAAGTTTTGTACAAATTCCTTGCCTTTTTTCAAATCTCCTGAGGTTTAATCATTGTCTCATTCTTTATTTATTTAAATTTTTATTATATGTAAGTAAACATTAAATTTAAGTAGGCGATCGTTGAATTGACCCTTTATAGCATAAAAACTACTACTAGATATTATCCTTCACTAATTTCACTGGTACAGTTTCTATCCCTTTCTTATATTTATTCTTCATACCTAGTTCCTTATGTCAACATATTCATGATTCTTTGAATCCCTTATAATCGTAAGAAAAATAATCTCTGTGTGTTTTGTGTATATGAGCAGGAGAAAGAGACAGGGAGACAGAGAAAAGGATACAAATAGAGGCAAAGACAGAGAAACACTCTACAAACTCACCAGAAGGTTGAAATCCTTATTTAAGTTCTATCATGCTGTCTTGAATGCAAAATTCTCCTTTTCCTCTTTATAGTTATAAGAAGACACTTGATAAAAGATGAGGAAATTCCACTGCCTCTAACACTGCTATCACTCCTGACCTACATTTTTTGAAGAAGAAAGAGGCGGAAAAGTCACTAGATTTGTCTTATTATTTGAAGCACTATACATTAGTGACTAGAAGTTTTCTCATCCTTATATCTGTAGAGTGAAAAGAGAATCCTGAATTTTCCATTTTAAGGCAAAAACTACTAATTTTATTCATATACAAAGTTGCCATTACACAAGAATCAGTTTTTTTGCTTGCTTTCCCTAAGGAAATGAACTTTCCTTCAGTAAAGGGAATCTTTACAAACTGCTGAAATTGCTTATTATGTCACTTTCTACTTTCTAGTGGTAACAACTTGTTTTATATCTTGTGTTCTTTTTCCTGAATTAAGTTTAAGTGACTCTTAGAATAAGAGTAAGATTACCTTAAAATTGCATGATTTCTTGATGAAAAGACTGAAATGAAAACCTGCCTTTCAGTGTGTTTATTTGACTCTTCCAGATGCCATAGCCTGTGCATGCATTATGTATACACGCCGAAAACTAAAAAAAAAAAAAAAAAATTTTTAATAGCATAAAAGTTTTACAGTCACAAATATATAACATTTAAAAACCAATCGTTTTAAGTTTAGCAATATTAGGTGAGAGAAATCTATTTCTATTGCCTCATTAAAATTATTTTGTAAGCAAAATTGTAAGGAAACTTTACTCCAGGAATTTTACTATCAAAATAATTAACCTTATAAAAAAAACTTAAAAGTGAATAATCTATCATATGTACTCATTCAATTTAAATTATTTAAGATACATATATCTATAAAATTAAGAATAGAAAGCAAAATTCTACCCAGAATTAGAGTGTTAATTTGATATATTTGATATATTTAATAATATACCTAATAGAAATTTCATTCCACTTCATTTCCAACTAAGATATCCACACATGTCAATTGCTTTTGAAATATAAATGTAAGAACAATTAGAGAAATCTAAAATCATAGAAGAGAGTAGTGTTTTCTTTTTCAGTCATCTGTGATCAAGATCTGTATTGCACATCTCAGTGAGTGTAGTAACGATTTAGGACTCTGAGCGCCGCTGTTCACCAACTCTAAGAAAAGCTCCATCCGCGCTCCATCCGGATATTAGAACCTGCAACTACACAAAGTCCCACAAACCGACTCTGGGCTGCAACAAAACGCAGCCTCTTAACTTGGGACACACCTTGGTTTCTTAAGGAAAAATATACCCATAATTTTTAGGAGGAGAAAAGAACCTAAGGAGTCAGCGTGCACAGGAAGCATTCTGAGGAAAAAAAAAAAATCCGAGTGAAGCAACAATGGCGGCTCCAAAGAATCGCCCGCACCTTGGGAGACTGGTCCTGCTGTGCCTTTTGCTGAGGAGGATGTGGGAGACCCGGGCCAACCTGATCCGCTACTCGGTGCCTGAAGAGACAGAAAAAGGCTATGTCGTGGGAAATATCTCCAAGGACCTGGGGCTGCAGCTCCGGGAGCTGGCGGAGCGCGGAGTCCGCATCGTCTCCAGAGGTAGGACGCAGCTTTTCGCTCTGCACCCGCGCAGCGGCAGCTTGGTCACCGCGGGCAGGATAGACCGGGAGGAGCTCTGCGCTCAGAGCGCGCCGTGTCTGGTTAACTTTAAAGTCCTGGTTGAAGACGAAGTGCAACTTTATGGAATAGAAATAGAAGTCACTGATATCAATGATAATAACCCAAAATTCCAGGCGGAAAATCTGGAAGTAAAGATTAACGAAATCACTGCGCCTGGCACACGTTATCCACTCCCAGAGGCTGTTGACCCGGATGTGGGCTTGAATTCCCTGCAGAACTACCAGCTCAGCCCCAATCACCACTTCTCCCTGGACGTGCAAACTGGAGACGACGGGACTATCAACCCAGAGCTGGTGCTGGAGCGCGCCCTGGACCGCGAGGAAGAGGCTGCTCATCACCTGGTCCTCATCGCCTCCGACGGCGGCGAGCCGCGTCGCTCCAGCACAGTGCACATCCAAGTGACAGTATTGGATACGAACGACAATGCCCCGGTTTTTGCTCAGCCGATTTACCGAGTGACAGTCCCAGAGAATGTGCCCCTGGGCACCCGGCTGCTTACTGTAAGAGCCAGCGACCCGGATGAGGGAGCCAACGGAGAAGTGACATACAAATTCTGGAAAATTAGTGAGAAACAATCTCCGTTATTCCAGCTTGATGAAAATACTGGGGAAATATCAACGGCAAAGAGTCTAGATTATGAAGACTGTGCATTTTTTGAAATGGAAATACAAGCTGAAGATGGTGGGGGATTGAAGGGGTGGACTAAAGTGCACATTTCAGTGGAAGATGTAAATGACAATAGACCCGAAGTGATTGTTACATCTTTGTTTAGTCCAGTGAGGGAAGATGCTCCTCAAGGAACAGTAATCGTTCTTTTCAATGCTCATGATGGAGACTCTGGGAAGAACGGCCAAGTGGTCTGTTCCATCCAGGAGAGTCTACCTTTTCAGTTAAAAAAGTCAGTAGAAGATTATTATAGATTGTTGACATCCCAAATTCTTGACCGAGAGAAAACCTCTGAATATAATATCACAGTGACAGCAACAGACAGAGGAACACCGCCTCTTTCCACAGAAATCCACATCACTCTGCATGTGGTTGACATCAACGACAATCCACCTTCCTTCTCTCAAACCTCTTACTCAGTCTATCTCCCTGAAAACAACCTTAGAGGTACCTCTATCTTCTGTGTGACAGCCAATGACCCTGACAGTAATGAGAATGCCCGGGTGATTTACTCCTTGGCTGAGGACATCATCCAAGGGGCTCCTCTCTCCTCCTATGTCTCCATCAACTCCAACACAGGTGTGCTTTATGCTCTTCGCTCCTTTGACTATGAACAGTTTCGAGATCTTCAAATGCAGGTGAGGGCAAGAGACAGTGGAGACCCACCACTCAGCAGCAACGTGTCATTGACCTTGTTCGTGCTTGACCAGAATGACAACGCGCCAGAGATCCTGTACCCCGCTCTCCCCACTGATGGTTCCACCGGTGTGGAACTGGCGCCCCACTCTGCAGAACCTGGGTACCTGGTGACTAAAGTGGTGGCAGTGGACAGAGACTCAGGCCAGAATGCCTGGCTGTCCTACCGCCTGCTCAAGGCCAGCGAGCCAGGGCTCTTCACGGTGGGGCTGCACACGGGCGAGGTGCGGACGGTGCGGGCCCTGCTAGACAGAGATGCCCTCAAGCAGAGCTTGGTAGTGGCCGTCCAGGACCACGGCCAGCCCCCTCTCTCGGCCACCGTCACGCTCACGGTTGCTGTAGCCGACAGCATCCCAGACATCCTGGCCGACCTGGAAAGCTTCAAACCCTCTGCGAACCCTGAGGACTCCGGCCTCACACTGTATCTGGTGGTGGCGGTAGCCTCAGTCTCCTGTGTCTTCCTCGCCTTTGTCATCGTACTGCTGGCGCTCAGACTGAGGTGCTGGCGCACATCGCGTCTGCTCCAGGCTTCTGGAGGCGGATTGGCAAGTCTGCCGGCTTCGCACTTTGTGGGTGTGGACGGGGTGCAGGCGTTCCTGCAGACCTATTCCCATGAGGTGTCCCTCACTGCGGACTCTCGAAAGAGTCACCTGATCTTCCCGCAGCCCAACTATGTGGACACGCTCATCAGCCAGGAGAGCTTTGAGAAAAACGAACCTTCGTGTGTTTTAGAAGATTCCAAGTTTCCTATAGAAGATACCCCTTTGGTTCCAGTGAGTTCATTTTTCTCTTTTACTATCTATTACAATTGATTTTCTCTCCAAGGGTTGGCACTTAAGGTAGGAAACATTTATGTTAACATATTTATCAGCATTTACGTTTTTATGGGGCCTCATTTTTGCTCTAACTTGGATAGAGGCATTTATTAGTTACATCGCTGATATTTTTTCACTTTCTCATAATCAACCTAGGGTCAAAGAAGCTTTTCTCTTGGGCTGCTATCATGATCCGGCATTAACACCAACTCTTTGGATGGGGTTGCTTGATTGGTTACCTTGGTTCACTACTAATTTTAGGGCTGGTTTTTCATTCCTGAAATTTATTATTATCATCATCTCTAATGGCCACGTTGTGGAATTCTTACTCTGAAAACATTACCATTTTTGTAAGGGTAAATTAATGAGGTGGCAAATGCATTCTTTTTGGAGAAATAACTGAAAACCCAAATTTACTGCTTCTGCTCTTCTGATTCTGGGACAGAACAACACCCCTTTGAGGTGATGTTTTTCAGATCTAACGTTTGTAGAGGTCATTTGTATTTAAAGATCATTTCTGAGGAAGATTCAAACTTCAGTTATCATCTATCTCCAAACCCTAGTAAAGCATTTTTTATTCTTTAATGATAAAAATTTTAACATCCTTGTTCTCATATGCTCAAGGTTTTAATTTCTTAATGCTATAAGGTCAAATTATTAATAGCTGAAACTCTTCTTTCCTATACTTTATGCTTGCTCAAGAGGAATTTCTGAGACTGAACACTGTGAGAGGACAAAACAGGGAAAATAAAAACTATTCTTCGACTGTCTGTTATTTCTGGCTCAATTCTCCAAACTTTAAGACTAGAAATAAATATGGATATGGGAAATGATTTAGGAAAATATCCTCAAGAACTGCTAAGGAGATTCTAAGAATATTTTATTAGCGCTTAGTTATCATGAAAAGAATAATGTATAATTTAATTTGATGTTAAACATAGTGTCATTTCAAGAAATAAATGATATTCCAGGAGATTTTGAAAATAAGCTTTGAAGTTGTCTCAAAATTCTATTCTAAACATGCTGAATATAAGGTCTAATATGTCTGGGAGTCCATTATGACATGCAGACATAATTATTTCAAATACTCTTTATTCTTAAGCTACTAGGAAAAAAGTAAACCATCATTCATGGTCATATTTTAAACCATGCAGTAGGAAATCTGTCATTTAAAGTTTCTGCCCTGTGGAGTAACCTTTAGTACTTAGCATTCATAAGTATTAAAATATGTGTTAATGTGAGGGAGAAAAGGTAACAGATACTGAGGGTTGCATGTCATAGTAGGTAACTACTATTCTCTACTTGCCTTTAAAAACAGAACACAGGACTTACTGTTTTTAAAGGCAGAGTGTGGAAATGCTAAATTCTAGTTTTCTTAAATAGGTAGGACTTTTGCATTGGTAACAAATTATATAACATAATAGGCTTAAAGATAAAAGTTTAGCTCACCTTAATGTCTCATCTAAAAGAAGTTAATTAAATATATTGGATTTAATTTAAAATAATGAGTGCAGTATATATTAAACAAAGGTGGTCTTGTGCTGATCATAGTTGCAGTAGGAATGGGTATATGAAGATTCAATAATAATGCTCTCTACTTTTATATGTTTGAAAATTTCCACAACAAATTTCATGAAAACACTAGGCATATAGGCATACTATGTAACACTATGATAAACTAAAACTTGGGGCTATTATATAACTGCATTTATATATATAT